GGAGGAGGCAGAGGATAAGGGGAGGGAGAGGGGAAATACTGAGGGTTGAATGGGAGCAAATTATATTCTATACCTTTATCATCATGTCAAAACGAATCCCAATCTTATGTAGAATAACATAAGAAGTATCAATAAAAACAAAATAAAGTGGCTGAGGTTGTGGCTCAGTGGTAGCGCGCTTGCCTAGCATGTGTGAGGCACTGGGTTCGACTCTCAGCACCACATACAAATAAATAAAGTTCCATCAACAACTAAAAATATTTTAAAAAATAAAATAAAATAAACACCATGGAGCCCTAAATCCAGTGACCAGACAATAAGAACTTACAACTAACAGAGATAATGCTGACTAATAAAGATGTGATCTTCACTCTAGAGGAGCTTAGGCATTCATATCAATTATTAATGAAGGTGAGAACTTGTTCATCCAGTCCTCTGCCCGGTCATCAGTAGGAGAAATGAGAGCCAAATGATAAAAACTACTAACATTTACTATACATGTGCTATTTGCTGAGTGTCCGCCTAACCACGGGCATCTCTTCACTCCTATCCCAGGTAAGTCAAGCAGCACTTAGAAAAGCAATTTGTTCGAATAGTTGATTTGGATCAGAGCTAAGATTCAGACACAGTTTATCCTTACTCCAGAATGTGCACCACTAAATATTTTGGTTGCTGCAGCCCCAAAATTACCAAAAAAGGATACTAAATTCTCATTTACATATGAATAACACATAAACTACAATCACTAACAACATATTTCATTTCCTCTGGGGAAAACTGGCTAACTCTGGAGCAGCATGTGCTAGAGTCTGGAAGAGGCTGGTTGCTGGGAGAAAGAGTGAATCAAAGGTCTTAGGAGGGGGAAGTAGAGTGGCTGGAGTCACACTTTGTGCACTACATCTCCTCTTGGTTGAGAAGAGTTATTTGATATCAGGTGCCTAGAACTTAAAAGAAGATTGTCAAATATCCCACTAGTTATATTTGCAGTTGATAGAATTATCTAGTATCAGCATTATAGCTACTTTTAGAGAGAGAGAGAGAGAGAAAGAGAGAGAGAATTTTTTAGTATTTATGTTTTAGTTCTCAGCGGACACAACATCTTTGTTTGTATGTGGTGCTGAGGATCGAACCCAGGCTGCACTCATGTCAGGCGAGTGTGTTACCGCTTGAGCCACATCCCCAGCCCCTTATAGCTACTTTTATATGTACAAACATTCTAACTATTAACATGGAATATTGTTGAATTAAGTTTATATAAAACAAACTTGTTGTGGATGCATTTACTAAGTAACTCGAGGGAGAAAATGGTTTTGAGCTTTACCAAGCACTTTCATCCTTTTGGAAATTTACATCCTGAGCTAGAATGTTGCAAGACTACCTTGGGTACTTCTAGGGTAAACTTACATCAGCCTGCAATTTTAAGTTACATTTATGGAGTTTTTTTTCATATATGTGCAATCATCTGCCTTTTTTTTTTTCATTGTGTAGTTGATCCTAATTAGTTACTTAGTAAAATAAGCATTGCTTTTTAATTGAAAAATGAAAATAAGGAAGCTCTTTAATCTGCTCCAACCTGGGATCTTAAAGTTCTTTTTGCCAAAGGAAGAACCTAGTTTCTTTCATGTAAAAAAAGGAAAGAAAATGGAAAATAACTCTTTCACTGAAAGTGAACAAAGACACATGACTATATCCACAGTGGCAGGTATACTGAACTCTAAAGGAGTGGTTTTTGATGTATCCTTCATTTTCATCATAGTAAATGTTGGGATTTCCAAAAAACTTCTGTTGGGCTTTGTGTTACTTGAAGTGATTTTTAGAACACTTGTATCAATGTATAATTAATAAACTGCAAAGAACTGCACATAGTCAGTGTGTACAATTTGATGGGCTTAGATAGACGCAAACCCCCATGGCATAATCAGCACAACAGTGTTAATGGACACATTCAATACCTTCCAGAGATTTCTTGTGTCTTTCTCTTATTGATTCCAAGTAGAATTCAATCTTTAGTTATTTTTCTTTAACCAACCATTATAGTAATATGTTAATTTCATCCTGTAGGACATCCTCTTTCAAAGGACTTTTAGCATGAGCAGAGAGACCTTAGTCATTCCCCAAATCACACCCTGTAGACATCTTTAGGCTGGAAAAAAGCCCAGGTAGTTCTTAGATTCAATTGTCACTCAAGAGTCTTGAAAAATGAATCCCTGTGTTTATCATTAAGACTGAAGGAAAAACGAGGGAGATTCCTTAGGGAATGACAGTTCAACAGATCTTTGAGTCCCCTGTGAATGTAGACTATCCTTTCATCATATTTCTTCTGGGAAATGATCTGTTACTCAGAGACATAAATTTGCCCTGCACTCATGATCAAGGATGGGAGGAGTAGGAAGCTGAACCAGCTGGTAGGGTGATTCACCATTTTTGGATTATTCTCAGAATATTTGTTCAGTGCTTCTCATCAAAGAAGAGGAGACGTTCATCCTCTCACCAACAACAAGTGGAAAACAGGTCAGACCACAGTTGGGACAGAAGAGGAAAGAGATGTGATCTATTTGGGATGCAATATTACACTGCCTGATGCTT